CCGTCAAATGCCAGACGTCCAACGAACGAAGAATTTTTACTTACGTAATTTTCGACAAATTATCAAAATGAGTGATTGGCGCGTCGGATAATTTAGCCTCGTCCGAGTCGCTCCTTTCGTAATTTTCACCCTGTCGCGAGCTTTTTTATTCGGCTTCCGCAAGAATACGACCCGACACGTAGAATGTCGCCGATAAAATCGTGTCGCGCGAGGCGGACAAGCGCCTCGTTGCTTTGTCGGCTCGTAAAGAAGAGGATCGGTGTGTCGATGGCGAAATCCAGCGCACATCGAACTGCGACTCGAGATCGGGCGCGACCCCCGCTCGTAAAATCCGAATTCGACGGATGCGAGCGAGCAGACTCGGACACATACGACCCAGGTATTTACGACGTAAGCACTCTCGTATTACAATAATCTTAATGCATCGTGAGATTGTTATCGTGTCTATTTGCTAAATAAAATTCAGAAACTCGCATTAAATCTGTAACTTATATATAGAGAGAATAAACTTGAATATATATAAACTTATATCAAATTTAAATTGTATAATTGAGCAATAATAATTCCGAAAAGGAGCGAAAAACAAAATTAAAAAATAATGGTAAAATAAATATGCATGTGGATATTTGTCATATGTAGGTCAAATCATGTTTGTAAAATTTTCAAGCGCTTCAATCATATAAAGATTCAAATTGCTTCGATTTATCTGAAAATAGAAGTTTTGAAAATGTCTTTGAAAATTTGAAAAGAGTCTCGAATGTCTAGAGAATCTGTCCTTATACAATACGTTAATATCTGAAACATTTAAGATTAAAAAAAAATTACTTACTGCATGTATATTTGCAAAAATAAAATCCTACTTAAATTTGCATTGCTCATTATACCTATTTATTTTTTTATTAATTACATATTCTGTTTGAAAAAGATTCTTAATAATATTCGATGTGTGTTCTGTTAGTCTATCGCTAACTTAGAAGTTTATACGTAGGCTTTTGCTCCGCCTATACAAACGTTTATAGTGGAATTGGGCAAGATCTCAACTAATCAAGAAAGCGTTATCGAGCGAGTAGTTCTGTGAAACACGGTCATGCAGCATACTCTCGAATATCCGAAGAGATGAGTAACATGCTCGAGCGAGGGTTATGTGACGGTCGGTCAATGTGGTCTAGCAACACAAGCGGCGGTTCTTCGCTACAATTTAACTTGGCACGCGGAGAAGCTGTTGGACGCGAGTTTCACTGATGAATATACCACGACAGAGTTTACCGAGCTTATGTGCTCATGTGCGGCTACAACGTTAGCGCGCCGCACATTATGTCACGTATGACGTCAGTCTAATTATGTATACTCAAAACGTGAGAGACAAAATTATCCGCTCTCCGTCATTACAACGCCCGTGCATACGTGTGTAATATTTTCGCGCTTTAATACGCCAACGGGAGAGAAAGGTATATAAATTCCGCCCACTTAAAAACGAAAATAATATCGCAGGTACTCGCGTTTCAAAATACGTGGGAATGCACGGATTCCAAAAATAAGTTGTCTCGCGCACACGTGGGAAGAAAAGAATTCAAGTCTCTTTTTTCTTATTTTTCAAATTCAATTCAATTTTTCAAATTGCTTGTTTTTTTTTCTACTTTTTTCGACTCGCTGAGAATAACGAGCACAGGGGGTGGAATTGAGACTAAAATCCCAAGTGTCTGGAAGAAAAATTTCAATTTCTCCCCATAGCTATAAGGGAGACGGCAGAGAGAAAGATAGGATGTTCGCACCAGTCGCGGAATACGGTGTATCGGATTTGGTGATGGCGGGTTGATGCACACGTCACACTTGGTGAACGCGCGTAGGAAGACAGACAGGAAGAGACGTCGAGGAGTGTGAGGGATGAGAGACGGAAAGCAGGGAAACGGGGGAGGAGAACGCACGGAGTCACGTGGAAACGATTCTCTCGTCCGAGAGTTTTACGTCCATTTTCATTTCGCGACGCGTCGCCAGCTTTTCACCCGGCCAAAGTTGCTCGCGAATTTGCCGACCGAATACTAGCGAGTGATTAAACGGGACGATCGTGATACACGGTATGAAGGGAAGAGAGGCGAAAGGATTACGTACGTGTGGGAAAAGACCGGTGGTTTCGGGCTCGCTCAAAAGCGACTACGACGTCCGATAATTATCTCCCGCGGCGACGCTCCGTTTTGATTAACAGCGGCGTTTTCGCTTAGCGCGACGTTACCTTATTCAATTCGCGAATATGGCCTCTTAAGTGTCTATACGATTACGTTAAACGCGTGAGAAAAATGAGGAAATGAAAACGAGAAACGTACAAACATTCGTGTCACGAGGCGACATCAATTTGCCGGATGATAAATTGCGTAGCCATCTTCCTGCCTTTTTATCTGCTTTAAGCGCGAATAAAATAAAATCATAGCGAAAGCGAAATTAAAATATGCTCTTATTTCTCTAGTGTTTTCGACTAATTGCGAGTTCAATAATATAATGAGATGTATATGTATTCGCAATTTGTTCTACTCACAAACTTATTGTATAAAATTCGATTATAAATGAATATACCGAATGCCGAAGGATGTTTCGAAAGATAAATTCGGAAGACGATATTTCGCCCCTTTCCGAATAAAATTTAATCGGATCTCTCCGATTTATGCGTTTACATCTATGCGTGACATTTCTCACGTAATACGCGCGTTACATTATAATCGCAGAGTGCGAGAAATATTGCGATAACGAGCAAAAAAGCAACGTCAAAGTGAGATTTCCATCGAGTCGCACTCTTTCCACTTCCTCCCATCTAACGCGCCTTATCATCCGTCCTTTCCGTCGTTTTGTTGACGTTTCCTGCGATTCGACGAAAGTCGTGGATATACTCTGTTGCGGAGGACAGAATGACCCATTTTATCGAAGACGTAAATACGAAAGAGGCGGCCTACTAAACGGAGACTCCGCATATCGTTACGAAATGAGTCTCGCGCGTCGCTCGGTTCTTCATAAACGCTCGAACGAGGCACTTAACGTAATTACTTTACCTGGCGAGATGCGAAAGCAATCGTCATCGAGAAACCGTGCCGGCGGCTACTTGAACGATCGTAATGTCAATACGAATTTCTCGACGTTGCTAATTATTTTGATGGAGATATTTTTTTCAGAGATACAAATGCTGCAAATTATTTTTATATATACACTATTATATGTATAATACGTATTGCATACCGATCGTCAACACGGTTTTGGAGATCAAACATAAACTTGTTCGGGCAAATATTAAAATTGCAAGAAAATCGTATGACATTTGCAAACGGCTGCATAAACATGTTACGAACGAGCGTATTATAAGCATTAGTCGATGTTTGGAAGGAGAATATTCAATAATATAATTCTATTGATGAAGTTTAAATTTAGAACTCGCGATAAAACGTAGATCGATGTATTTATCAAGAGGAGCGAAATTCTCTCCCGCCGCAATGTCGACCGATTCTTTTTGCAAGAGAAGAGATATGAGCGACGTCTCGACGGGTTTAAACGTCGTAAAATCGCGACTCTCTCACGCAAATCCGAGGAGTACGTAAATCTTTCCGGTGCATTCGAACGACGCCGTCAAGAAGGCGTAACGACCGTTCTTGGCAACTTCTCTCGAGCGCGACGTAAAGCTCCATTCATAGGAAGCGCGAACTGCGGAATATTCAGTGAAATTCCTAGTTCGATTCCACAGCTCGAGTCGATTGATTTTTAATTCACTCTCCCGCGGCGAATAACAAACCTTTCTCGCCAGCGAAATTAGAACGCTCCGATAAATCGCACGATTATCGAATTAGATACCTTTTTTTTGGACCCGAACTATAGGTATGCATCTCGGCGGAATCTAGCGGCACGTAGATGGTTCGAGATAGATCCTGGTACCTAAAGCAAACTTTCCCATCCGATACGCCTCGTCTTGACTCTTACACCGCGAGTTCCGCGCTCCAACAACTGCGGCTCGAGATTACACGTGCGCCAATTAAACGTGCACAGAGAGAGAGAGAGAGAGAGAGAGATATCGGTTACATCTTGCCGGCAGCGATAATGTGATTCTTTCGCTACGTGCTCGGGCACGAGGGTAGAAATGAAACGACAGGAGAACGAAGAAGAAACGCGAAAATTAGTCGTTGAACGACGACGAACGATCATCCGGGTGGAAAGGATGGGTAGATTTGTTCTGGATTCTCGCGATCGCGGGATGTCACGTCGCGATGCGGGACACCCTCCTCTCGACACCTGTCGATCGAAGGATTAAAGAGGATGCGACCCCGTAGACGCGATCCGGGATTTAAAGCGCATCCCTCTTCCCGCTTTTCCTCTCGTCCTCGTCCCGCGTTTACCGAGCGACGAAGAGAGAGATAGCGTGAATTCGTGTACCTGGGTTTTCGGTGAGGATACTCTCTCCTTCTTCTTGTTTACACGGCAAACGTAGGAAGTAATTCATCGTGGCTCGTCGCGACTAAATCCATTCCTGATTCACCGCCTTCTCCATCCTACACCCGAGAGAGTATTACTCGTGCCCTCGTAGGAAGCACCCTCGTTACTTGGCTGGCGGAGGGTTCGTTACCTCGAGGAACCCCCGTGAGAGCTTTGTCTTCGGTGACACGCGGAGTACGTGGATATTCGGGATTCCCGTCGGGTGTAGAGCGCCATTGTCAAGATTATTGCGAATATATGTATAACGCTTGAGATGCGAACGATTCTCGCGCGAGATCGTAATAATTGCACCGAGATAAATTACAAATTCAACGATCGATATCATTTCAATTATAGATATTTTACGGCCAATCTTCACGGGTTGAACCCTAAGAGGAGCAACGTCCTCTCTCGTTTACACTCATACTTCGGAGAAGCGTGTTCAGCGGACGAGGTCAAATCGACGAGGAATAATGATAATGATGAAAAAATAGACCAACCTTGAGTGGAGCGTGTGTTCCTCGTGGCAACGATTAAGCGAAGAAAGGTAGACTCACCATAGTGTCTTTGATATGATCAACCGGTTGCAGCAGAACCGCCGTAGTGCCGAGGGTCCTGTGATGCTGCTGCTGTTGCTGTTGTTGCTGCTGATGTTGCTGCTGCTGCTGCTGATGGTGGTGCTGGTGATGATGGGGGTTGCAGTTAGCAACGATGTTGCAAGAGCAAGTGCAGGCGAGATTGCAGGCCTGCTGGGTACCGAAGAGATGTCCTACCAGCCCCGGGGTGATCGCTGCTGCCGCCGGATTGTTGATGCCGTTTAACAGGGGCGGGGGCAGGGGCACCGCACCACCCGGGACGAACGGGTACGAATGAAAATACGTGGTGATGGGGGAAATACGTGCCTCGTCAGCGCCGACGACCGTCTCGGCGAGCCAGGACTTGCCCGGGGATGCAGGATGCAGGAGGAGATTGCGATTCGCCGCCGCGAACGAGTGTTGCAGGCCCCAGAGGGTCCGCGCGCGTTCCTGTGCGTTCCAGCAGGCACGTTCCAGCGACACGGCCTGGCAGCGAGCAGTTTCCGTTTTGCACGAGCGACTCCACTCGAACGAGGGCCACCACAGCTTGAACGAGTAGTATCCTCCCTTGTCCTCTCCCCTTGACCGGTCCCCCCCGTTCAGGGACGCTCGTCTTCCACGTGTCTCTCTTATTTTCGTAGTTGTTTCCACCGCGTCTCGACGTCCCTTCTCCCTTTTTTGGGACAGGACGCTCGACCGACCCGGTTTTGGTTTCTCTCCTGCGACTTGGCTTTCGCCGACAGAGCAACGAAGAGAGAGAGAGAGAGCGATCGATAATAGCCTCTTTGACTCGCGCGAAAGATCGCGACAGGACTTTGGGATCGAACAGACTCGACTCGACTCTACTTTTTTATTTTTTTTACGAGCTATACACACATACACACGTAAACACGTACACACGCGCTACTCTTATGAATATCGGATACAATTAAGTGGTTCAAGCGCTATCTACACGTGCGAGATCGAGACAGAGATCCTTAAGTGAGTGATGTATATGCGAGAATTTTATTTTCTAGGAGATGCGGCGAACGCGTACGTCGCGTACGGGATGATTGTCAATGTGTTGTCGTGTATGTATCTGCTATGTGTAGGTGTATGTGAGCGAGTGGAGGGGTGAAAAACAGTTACAACCACGCGTTATCCGCGCGGGAAGAGGGCGAGTGGTGACGGACAGAAAGAGAGGGGAAGAATTTCACGCGTGCGGATTAAATATGTACTTAGAGTGCGGAAGAGGCGCGAGAGAAAGAGAGAAAGAGAGAGAGAGAGAGAGAAACAAGCTCGTCTCCCGCCTCGCGCGATTCTCTTGCTCGTACGTGTAATTGAAACGACGTAGGTATGCGAAAAATTTTTTTTCTTTTATAATTCCCTCCCTTATTTTCTTCTTCTTCTCCGTCTTACTAATTCGAATCGTTATCCTATCGAAAAGAAGGTGATACACCTCGAGATTACGCACTAAGAGAACTAGCTGAAAATGATTGTCACGAAGATTGACAGAGAGCAGTCCTATTGCCAGACCACAGGGAAAGAGATCCTCTCGAGTTCGTCCTTTTATCCTCTAATTGGCATTAATTCTTTCTACCGTTATCTTTTCCTCGCGTTATCTTTTCCTGCCGAATCACGCGTCGACGACTCTCACGGCGCGTTAATTGGATATGTACGAGAGTTGTATACGTACAAACGTATGTATATAAGTGTAAATATATATATATATATATATATATGTGTATGTATATATATATATATATCGATTGTGTATATATAATATATAGATATTGATATAGAGCGTGTACACACGTAGAATCGGTACAGAGGCTGGAGATCACATAAAGACACGAAAGTCGATCGCTCGCGACCTCTTATTTCGCAATAGACACGTACATTACTCTGCTCTGACCGAGAAAAAATTCGCAGATGCTTCCCCTCTCTTTCCCTCGATATGTCCTAATCCACTACAGTTACAATTGATTGTCTTGACGCGATTCTCTTTGTTCCTCGACGGTCACCTACGACGGCAGATGACGCGATATATTGTTTATTAAACTCTTTTTTCCTCTATATACTCTTACTCTTAACTTTAAATCTAATAACTTAACGAGACGCGCTTTACACACATACGTACCTAGAAAAAAAAAAGAGCCGAAACTCTCCCTCCTATTACTCGATCTCTCTAAAGTCCCGCGCGAGGTTACTCTCGATAATTTAACGTCCGAACGATTATATCATTTAGAAATGATTTAATTAACGGTACTCTTAATCGCCTGGGCGAAAACCATCTCTCTTTTCGCCGCTTTCTTCCTCCCTTCTTTCTCGATCGCTCTTACTCAAGACTTGAAAGAAGAATCTTTCAAGGTCGCGTGGTCGGTCTCGCGATTTCTTTTTTCTCTTTTTTTTTCAAAGATATATGTATTCGTCTAACATCGACGTCTCGATTATCACGGGAATGGGGGGGACTTCTCTCTCGTGGAATGTCAATTCGTCGAGATTTTTCGCAACGGTCTCTCATTCATATCGCTTGACATTTTCCTTCCAGCAGCAATCGGACGGTGATCGAAAGGAAGCCGGGGAGCCGATCAACAGTCCCTTTGCGAAGTATCAGCCCAGTTTGTCGGATTTTGCCAGTTCGACGTGTGTGTGTCACGAAAACGAATCAACAACGACGACAATGATGATGACGAACTACGACGATGATGAGGACGACGACGATGACCTTGAACCGCTCGCAGTCCAGTCCGGCAAAGCTGTCTCGCTCTCCAACGATAACCGGTAGCTCGCGCTCGGCACACACAGACACACACACACACACGGACTCAAAGAGAAGAGACAATAGGACGCGCAGTCAGAGGGCTGCTTTTATGCATGCGTACCCGGCATACAAAGAGGGTGAGAGAAAGAGAGACAGACAGAGAGACAGAGTACGAGAGCGAGAAAACGAGGTAGCGTTAAGCGTGGTACTGGAAACGTTGTTGATCACGTGGTCTTGCTGGCGCGTTACTTCTTCGCCTTCTCTCTTCTTCGCGTTGCGTTTCTCAAGTCGTCGCGAGCAGACAGAGACGGCGACGTGGATCGAAGGTTGACGTCTGTTTCGTATACGCGCGCGTGTCCCGCCGGTTCGAGACGGAAGAAGGTTTCAAACGAAAGCCAAGGAACTCGAGTATATTCGCGCGAAGGGAAAAAAAGCGGGCAAGGTCCGACGATGTGGCTGGCGACGTGTGTGTCTGTCTGTGTGTGCGTATGTCGTACGAGCGCTTATGTTGCGGGTCTCGCGCTTGTGGGTGGCGTTATACAGCGTATGCGTGTATATGTGTCGGTATTAAACTGTGAAGGAATAGGTGTGGAAGAGGAGACAGACGTGGCAGAGGCGAAGGAAGAGAAGAAGGAAAGAAAAAAAAGAGGAGAGAGTGTGTGTGAGTGTGTATGTGTGTGTGTGTGTTCGTGAAAGAGAGAGAGTGTAACTCGGAGGCGGAACGATTAAAGTGCGTCCTACTCGATCGCCTAGCTTGACACAACTGAGGAGCGTCTCTCTCGCGCGGCGCCGCGAAAGCTTCCGCGCCGCCACCGCCGCCGCCACCACCATCGCCGCCGCCGCCGCCGCCGCCGCCACCGCCACTATCGCCGCCGCCGCCGTCACCGCTGCTGCTGTTGCTGCTGCTGCCGCCGCTTCCACCGTTGCTGCGGCCGCAGAGTTGGATTACAGCGTATACGCGCCTTTCTCGACCCCCACCGTGCAAACGGTGACGTGGAACCAATGGGGTGCAAGAATATACCGAGAGAACGCGAACTCGCACGAGTTCCGTCGAGTCTGCGCAGCGGAAGCGGAGGTAACGGCGGCGGCAAAGTCCTCGCGAGTCTCCTCTTCCCTTCTTCTCTCTCTCTCTCTCTCTCTTTGTCCGACCTGTTCCTCCCTTGTCGCCTTCTCCACGCCTTCATCGGAGAACTACCACCTTCCTCTCGCGCGAGCCCTTCCGACATCCCCGACACGCTGCCCCCGGCCGATTCCGCCACGCGCGGACGCGTCCATCTGAGAGGCGCCACCGCGATCCCGAAACCGCTCTCTTAAGCTTTCCGCCCCCGCCGTCGCGAAACAGGCCTCCCCCGAGCTGGGAGGACGCGAAGGAGGAGGAAAGAGCTTGTATTTATTATGCGCCAGAACGGATCCTAGGTCTTCCGTGCGAGCGAGCCAAGATTCTACTTGGTTTCTCTCCGTGAGAGACCACCTGCTATACGTTAGGAAGATTTAAGAAGATGCAGTGCCCGAGCGATTTCAGATACATCGCATTAACACACACCTCGCTGAAGTTCAAATTTCGATCGTTAGCCACTTTTAAAGGAACATGTGAATTTGTTTATTATAATACAAGATGATATATATATATATATATAGTAATCCTCGTGTTGAAATTCTCCTGCACCGATATATATATATAAAATTATCAAAAACCCGATATGATTTCAATCATCATATTAATCAGCGGTCGCAGATAAATTCTCAAATAATGTTATACATCGTGATTAAATATGTATATTCCCCTATAAAACCAAACGTATCAAGATATCACAATTAACGCGGTGAAAATCGGCTTAACGTTTCATCTAATCGCCCGTTTTCATTCGCACCGAATGATCTGGATTTTCGAATCACTCGAAACAGATATTTCGAAATCGATGCAGCAGACGGAAACGACGTTCTCGGCGAGTCCTATATACTCGGCGAAAGGTAATTAGCATAATAGCCGGAGTTTAAGGTTCAAGCATCAGCGAACCCGTTTCTTTTAACGCGCACCGTCATAGCTACAACCTACCGGGCGCTTAACGATAGCGCTCCCCGGGAAAAGTACACTGAAGAAGTTCAATGGATGGCGATAAAGCACCGACGTCGCAAATGGTTGCCTCCACTCGCAGTCCGGCCCGTTATAGCAATAGGCCCGCGCCCGCTAAAACAACCGAAACTTTCGCGTAGCGAGCATCCGCGAGTCGAGCGGATGAAAAAGTTTCAGAGACAAATAACGGAGGAGAACGCGTAAACAGAAGTCTCGTGAGTGCATCCGCGAGAATGGGTCGGGAACGGGTATTGAGAAGGGGCTGATTCTCAAGTCGGCGAAGAAAGAGGAAGATATATAAGTGTGAAAAGAGAGAGAGAGAGAGGGTCGCGCATTGCCATTCGTTCGACGAGCGCTCTTCTTCAGCGGGAGTTCGGAGTGTTTGTTCGACGCGGAGATTACTGTTTTCGCGAAGAGAGAGAGATGGAAAGTAAGAAAAGGGAAGACGGAGAGAATCGGAGAAAGACAAAAGGAGAGAAAGGGATTCGAGCATAATCACCTCCTCCCCGTCATCTCGACGTCCTTGAGGTCAGAACGACGGAAGAACCGCCTACCGTGAAGAGGTTCGATGGATTCTTCGGGGCCGATTGTTCGATCGACGAATTCGCAGGCCAGGATCGATACTCGCGTGTAAACGATTTGGCAGAATCGGTCGCGTTTACGAGGATGCTTCACTACTAACCGTCTGGTAACATGATTGTCGAACAAGGTTGTAACTATCGAGAGAGATTGGGCTAAATCGAAGAAACGAGTAGATTAAAGAGGAGAGAGAAACTTGTCAACGTTTATAAAAAAAAAAATCATCAGTCGCTTTCTCGAGCGAAAAATATATACCTTATTACTCTTGATTCAATCAGAAAATGTTAACACGCTCATGATTATTTAAACGTGTAACAACGAAATTTATGTTTAATATACCGGCGGGAGAAATTCTTCCGGGATATTCCATTACATCGGATATGCTTTCGTTTAAAAAAATAGTCGGTGACGTCAACGGAACGCCATTATAAAGACTAAAAAATGGAGTGTTTGTAAATGCTTGCAACATTCAGAAAGGACTCTTTGTCCTCTCTTC